TGCATTAAGTAATGAGAATGGTCGTAGGAATGCATGTCTGCTCTGTGAACCTTTGACACTTATTGTAGTGGGGCTTAGGGCTTGCATACAGAAACTATACACTACACTCTCGTCGTTCTATCTCTGTTGGGGGTGCTATTGAGACCAAGGCCAGGTTGAAACTGCAATTCATTTTGGATAAGAATATCCTTAGGTAATCAAAGCTTAATAAAATTCATAGGCATCACTATGTCTATGTATATCGTTTGGGAAGATTTCACTATCAGTTTTCGATCACCTTACTCAACCTTGACTGATCACATAATTTTTACTCATTTGCAAGTATTTGGTTGTGCGATTTGTAATTCATTCGCATAGGAGGAATCCTGTGGATCCAACTCACTCTAATCGGGCCTTATTTTGCTAGGACTTTTAGACTGAAATACTTCCTGATATCGTTCCTTATATTTTTGTAAGCGTGTGATGCTACTTTTCACATATTTTCAGAGCCAGTTATTCTTTGTAGGTGCTTTTCAGCATCTCTTCTTGCATTCAGCTACTCTTATAAATCGAAAAAACGTATAAATTTCCTGATTACATTAGTTTTGTGAACACTTTAGTTAAATTACTCTTAAGCGCATATAAAGATAAAATATTTTATTTATCTTTAGTAGTTTAGCCACCCTGCTCACACACCTAATTTAATTAAATTTCCCTTAATATATTATTCGATAATTTCGGCAAACGTAATAGCTTTACTAGTGATTGTGTTTTGCCCCCCAGGCAAAAAACGATCATATTGTCAAATATCTACATTGTAACGGATCATTTTAATACTCAGATTCTTTATTATTTTCCCATTCTTTCTCAGCACTATCCCTCCAGATATTAAATTGCTTTTGACAATACTTTAAAGTGAAGCTTTTATATATACTATTTTTATCTTCAGAAATTCAAAATTCATGTAAAAATATCTTTTCTCTCAACGCTACTTCGAATTTTTTTCTATGTTTTTACATATTAGGCACAGAAAGCACATCAACTCTTGTCGGATCTACGCCATCTATAGATGCAAACTTTGATTCTGAGCGTCCCCAAAAAAACTCTTTGATCACCTGCCCTGAGGCTTCCCCAACTAGCATTTCGAACACATCCCGCTTGACCAGAGGCTGCGACAAAGACGACAAATTTGATAATCAATCTCACCCTCTCTCATTGGCACAGCAGATTTCTCAGCGTCTGATCAGCTGTAAGCCCTGGTTGCCGCCATCGCGTGATGAAATCGAGACGGTCTTCACTTATGTATGGCTTTCTGCCTGCTGGCGTGCCCCATGTTTCAGTGATGTCTCAGAAAAGAAGAGTGTTGTTAATTACTCTCTACACAATTATATTCTTGTACGTTATTTACTTGTTAATTTTATGGGATTTGCAACCTGGAGTATTGATACATATTGTCAAATAAGCAGGTAGTGCTTATTTCTTTTAAACTTTTTATTAGCATAGCTTTTAGTGCTATATCAGCTCTACTATCTGGTCCCAACTTGTGATGCCCACAATATGCTATTCGAGATGCGCAGCTGATAAAACAACTATTCTTCCTTCTTTACTAACTTTATAACAGAGGAATTTCGCCATCTAAATTGCATTTTCACTTAATACCCTATTCTAATGTCGTTATCGGCCCACGTTGCTTTGCTAATATCCTGATTATTATGTAGAAAACGTCAACTTTAGATGCTTTTTTCTTAGAGTTTGTAAAGGACACATTTCTGGCAATTGTTTTTACATAAAATTTGTATTCACCCTATTTTGTTATGGATGATGAAGGATTGATATTTAGATTTTCCCACAATGATATGAATATGTTTCATGCTTCCAGTGAATTTTACATAGCTTTGCTCCACGACGGTATTCTAATATGAGATGCACTACTGTTTCGAACTCCCCTAGGTCTCATCGCAAACCCAAGTGGGGCTC